TGCCCTTCCTGCCTGCAGCCGCAGCTGCCTCGGGTTGCTGTCAGCTCTGTGCCTTTCATGTTCCCCTGCTTTGCTCTTTTCCCACTGTCCGGCCGCCCTGGGAACCCCGAGCTGTGGTTACGTGGCCAGACAAGCGCAAGCCCAGGTCTGGAGCCTGTGAGCAAAGGGGAAGGAAGCCAAATGGGCAGTGAGGGAGGAACTGAAATTCGCGTGAAGCGCTGGAATCGCCGCTGGCCTGGCGGAGATGGGAGCAGCGCAGGTTCTCCCAGGCAGTGAGTCATGCAGGAGCTGCAGGCTGTGGCTCCGAGGCGAGGAGGGCAAGGGCCGAGCTTCAGGAGGGCAGGGGCTGAGCCTCAGGTGGGCAGGGGCCGTGCCGCGGGAGGGCAGGGGCTGAGCCTCAGGTGGGCAGGGGCCGAGCCTCCCAGCTCCCCTTCGGCCGCATCACCGGCTGCAGCCCTTGGTGTGGCGGCGGGAGGATGCTCTGCCCCACACCGCACATCCCTGAGCAGGGCTGGGGCACGGGCTGGGCCTCTGGGCTGCCCTGCACAGCACACAGCCATGGGCACAGGCAGGCTGCAGCTGGCGCTCCTGCCCGGGCTCATGCTGCTGTCCCTGTCCCCGGCAGGGCGATGCTCGGGGGCCGCAGGGGTGTTCACAGAGCCCCAGCTCCGAGCTAGGGCCGGGGACTCCGTGCTGCTGCAGTGCCTCTTCCTGGACCCCGACAGCAAGGGATGGACCCTGCACAAAGTGGACTGGCTGTACAGGGCAGGAGCTGGCACGCAGGTGGGTCAGGACAGGGCTGGGACAACAGGGACACGGGGATGGTGGTGGGGGAGGGAGGGCGAGGCAGCCGTGGGGAGGATGTGGGGATACAGCCTTGGAGAGGATGTGGGGAAGCAGCCATGGGGAAGTAGCCCTAGAAAGGATGTGGGGATGCAGCCATGGGGAAGCAGCTGTGGGGAGGCTGTGAGGATGCAACCCTAGAAAGAAAGGCTGTGGGGAAGCAGCCATGGAGAGGCTCTGAGGATGCAGTCATGAGGATGCAGCCATGAGGATGCAGCCATGGGGAAGCAGCCCCAGAGAGGCCGTGGGTGAGCCCATCCTCCTGCCACCGGGCCATGAGGAGAGGAAGTTTCCATGAGAGGAAGAGGGGTCCCCGTGTGGGGGCAGCTCCGGCAGCAGAGGGGGAGCAGCATCCTGGGGCTTTCCCTGAGAGTCACCCAGAACAGGGAGACAGTGTGAACTGAGAGCTCCTGAGGAGGAGCAGGCGCCTGACATCCCGCCCCTGCCACCCTGCACTGCCCCGGCAGGAGGAGATGGTGTTTTTTTACTACAGCAACCACGGCGTCCCCGCGGGCCGCTTCAAGCAGCGGGCGCAGTGGCGGGGGAACATCTCCGGCTGGGACGGCTCCATCCTGCTGCAGGACCTGCGCCTCAACGACAGCGGCACCTACGAGTGCGAGCTGCGCCTGCTGGAGGCCAGCAGCGTCTTCAGGAGCCGCACGGTGCTGCTCGTCAGCCCCGCGGTGTCCAGAGGTGCGCGATGCTCCCGGGGCTGCCCCGGCTCTGGGGATCCCCCCGGTGCCATCCCGTCCTTGGTGTCCCCCCGGTGCCATCCCGTCCTCGGTGTCCCCTCGGTGCCATCCCCGGCTTGGGGGGTCCTGGCTGTGCCATCCCCGCCTCGGTGTCCCCCCGGTGCCATCCATCCCCTCCTCGGTGTCCCCCCGCAGGTGCCGAGGATGCGGCGCCCCCGAGGGACTCCGGGTTCTGGCCGGCCGTGGTGGGCTGTGGCTGCGTGGCCGTGGTGGTGGCGTTCCTGGCCGGGCTGTGCGTGAGGAAGAGGTAAAAACGCCGCTCTGGGTTTAGGGGGTGAGCTCCCTGCAGCCCTCCCTGGTGCCCGCAGGTGCGGGGGTTCAGCTGCCCAGGTGTGGGGTGCCAGCCTCCTGCTGCCATCTAGTGTCACCGTGCGTGTCCCCTCGGCTCCCAAACCTCCTGGGCTGTGCCGGCAGCACGGACAGCCCGGCCCGGGTGTGTGCTGAGGGGTGTCGGTGTCCCGGCAGAGGGAGGGAGGGAGGGACGGGAGGAGCGGGTGATGCTCCAGGCTGGGGGTGACACTGCTGCTGCCTTCCCTCGAGGTTTGCGACCGTCTCGGCCCTGGAGAGGATGGGGAACAGCACCAACAAGGGCAAAGCAGAGGTGAGAGTGAGGCTGGAGGGGTCTCAGGGCTGGGGAGGCCAGGGAGGGGATCCCACCCTGCCCGGGCATCCGGGGCCGTTTGCTGCCAGCTCCAGCCTTGGCTCTTGCAGCTCGCCCTGTGTCTGGGCAAACCTGGGTGTTTGGGGGCTGCTCAGTCCCAAACAGCCTGATCTGCCCCTCGCAGGAAGCAATTTACACCTCCATCCCCGGAGCTGAGGTGCCCAAGGCTGAGCAGGAGGCGAAGAAGAAGAGGAGAGCTGAGGACACGTACATAACCATGGTGAGGAGCTCAGCAGGCGTGCTGGGACCCCCACACCACTCACTGCCCCCCTCTCCAGGGCCATGGCACCCAGGGCATCCCTTCCTGTGCCAGAGCCCAGCATCCCACACCCCCAAACCCCCCTGGCACCCGTGGTGAGGCTCACACCCTGTCCCTTGCTCCTGCAGCACCCATCTCACTGCCGCGACAATGGCGTCTACGTGGAGCTGGCCAAGAGGGCCATCCCGTCAGAGTGGATGGCAGAGGGCACCCAGGGGCATGGACAGGGCCAGGAGCCCCTCAGCAGGCCGGAGGAGGCACCTCCCCAGTCCCCGGAGCAGCAGAAGTAGCTGTGCTGTGGACGCAGCCCGGTTCCAGGTGTGTCCGACACACCTTTGTCCCTGTGAGGACCGAGAACTGGTGCCACGCCGCTGTGTGCCCCGTGCCAGGGCACTGCTGGGCACAGCCCACCCCAGCTGTGTGCAGGGCACCAGGGGACACCCGTCCCTGTGGCTCTTGGGACTCCAGAGAGTGGACACGGCCTCACGCTCCAGCTCTGATCCCGGCCCAGGTGAGCATCCCCGCGGGGGCAGAGGCAGCAGGAGCTGTCACAGCGTTTTTCTGTACATAATAAAACTCGGGGAGTCTTCCCTGATGCTGTCTTCGTTTTACCTCCAGCCTGAGCATGTGATGTCCGAGTGTGCCAAAACCTGCCTGGCCCAGGGCCTGGCAGCCCCTGAACCCGTGTGCAGCCTGGCACGGGGCACCAGGCGGGAGCAAAGCCAAACGGGCACAAACGGGGTCCCTGGCAGCAGCATGGGGACTGAGGGGAGCAGGACAGAGCCCGGGGGCACTGGGGTCCCCCCGTGTGTCCCTGGCCGTGGGGAGCAGCCGGTGATGGGCAGGGGCAGCCCGGCCACCCCTCAACCCCGGGGCAGAGCCGGGGCGGGCGCTGGCGCTGCTCCCGCGCTATCTCTGGGTGCCGGGCGCTATCTCGGGTGCCGGGCGCTATCTATAGATGTTTGACACCTCCAGGTGCGGAGGGAGCCGGGACCCCCCACCTCCCACCGCTGCCGCTCACTGCAGCGCCGCGCTGCGCTCCTTGGTTCTCGTTGACACCCGGCTCTGTTTTCCCGCAGGCAGCAGCGGGACGGGATCTGGGAGCAAACAGCCCCCGGAGCTGGGTCTGGGGGCTCGGGGATGCCACAGCGCCTTTGCAGGGTCGTGGCAGCAGAGCAGAGAGGGCTTTGCCCGCCCGGGATGGGTGGCAGAGTGCTGTGCCTGCAGTGTTTGCTGGGCAGAGCTGCTGGGGCACTGCCGTGCCTCCTCTCCCGGCTGTGCTGGCTGTGGTCGGGCAGCAGAGCCCCTCTGCACCCCTGTCCTCTCCATCCCTGCCCTCTGCATCCCTCCTGCCTCCCCGGCTCTGCTGTGCCCTGGCTCTGGGGCATCCCTCCCCTCTGTCCCCAGGGATGCTGTCCCCGTGTCCCGGGGCCTGAGCAGCGCTGTCACTGCCCCTCTGGGCCCCAGGAGGTCCCTCCTTGTCCTCCTGCCCCCATCCCTGCAGTGGAACCCAGGTGTGGGGCCCAAAGGTTTCCTTGGTGGTGCAAAGGGGATCACAGACTTTCTCCTGCCCTGTTGCTGCTGGGCAGAGCCTCCCTGTCCCAGGGCTGGGAGAGGAGAGCTGTTATCCTGGGACAGGAGAGCTGCTATCCCGGGAGAGGAGAGCTGTTATCCCGGGACAGGAGAGCTGTTATCCCGGGAAAAGAGAGCTGTTATCCCGGGACAGGAGAGCTGTTATCCCGGGAGAGGACAGCTGTTATCCCGGGACAGGATCCTGCTGGAGAAGGGGAAGGAGCCCCAGCAGTTTGGCAGCCCTGGGCAGCGATGGAGCTGTCCAGGATTGGGCAGGTGAGCAGGAGCCCCCCCACCTGCTGCAGCCCACCTGGGGCATCTTGCCCGGGCTGCTCGGGGCCCTGTGCTGTGCCAGCCTCGGGCAGCCCCTCTGCCCCCTGCCAGCCTCCAGGAGGGCATTTCCGACCCTCCTGGGCCCCGCTGGGCTCTGCAGAACGGGGGTGCTGCCGTGGATGGTGCCAGCAGGGCTGGCTGCCAGCCTTCAGCGGGGCACAGGGGACACACCCGAGTGTCCCCACCCCACCCGGGGCTCAGGAACCCTCCGTGTGCCCCAGCCCGGCACGGAGCACGGAGCCGGCAGCGCCAGGCGCTGTCTGCGCCTGCAGTTCAGGGGAAAATTTTTCCGCCCTCCCACTCCGGCGGCTGCAATCCACCAACCACAGCATTTACTGCTTTTTTTCGCCCCAGCGCCGCTCCAGCCATATTGGGCTGTGGGGAGAAAGCGGCTCTAATGTTCTATGTCACCTGCAAATAACCCGGGCGTTCGAAAAAGCACCTCCACCTCCTCCACCACCCACACCAACACCACGTCCTCTCCACACACTAAAGTCCGCCAAAATGGGCCCGGAAGGCTGGCTCCCGCAGCCCACCCTGCTCCTCGCCGGCCTCACCTTGCTCCTCTCGCTGGGTAAGTGTCGGCTTGAGCCCCCTTGCATGTGCCCAGCTGGGGAGACACCCGTGCCCTGCCAGGAGCCCTGCCCTGTGTGTGCCAGCAGGGACGGGCACGGAGGTGCAGAGAGCCACCAGCCACGGTGACCTGCTTTTGGGCAGGGTGGGGGCTCCTGTGTCACTGCATCTCCTGCTAAAAACGCCCTGCATCCCTGGAGCACACAGCCCTGGCATGGCGGGCAGGGGAGCGGGCTGCAGTGGGGACAGGGCTGGGAAGGTGCTGGGCTGCCTGGTGGTGTCCTTTGGGGTGCTGGCAGGTGGGCTGAGCTGTCCTTTGGGTGCTGCTAGGTGGGCTGTGCTGTCCTTTGGGTGCTGCTAGGTGGGCTCTGCTGCCTCGTGCCTGTCCTTTGGGTGCTGCCAGGCGGGCTGTGCTGTCCTTTGGGTGCTGCCTTGTGCTGTCCTTTGGGTGCTGCCAGGCGGGCTGTGCTGCCTTGTGGTGTCCTTTGGGTGCTCTGGCGGTGTCTGTGTCTGTCCCTCGGCCGGCTCCGCGCTGGGGCCGGCTCCGTGCGTGCCCCGCGGCCGCAGCAGCAGCAGCAGCAGCAGCGCTGTGTCAGCAGCCCCGCGGCCGCATCGATCGCTGCCGGCCGGGAAGGGGAATGCTCCGCTCCTCTGATGGCTGTCCCTGAGCTCCTGTCGGGCTGCCTGTCCCCGAGGACAGAGCCCGGCAAAGGAGGATACAACACCCGGCCAGGGCTGCTGCAGACGCTGCTGTTTGTCCCCCCCAGCCCGGGTGCAGCACTGGGAGCACTGGGAGCCAGCACAACACGGCCTGGATGGTCCCGAGGGTTTGGGGGTTCTTCCCCCACCTCTGTTGTCCCCCAGGGCTCAGTGCCCGGCCAATGGCAAGGTTCAGACCCACCTGGGTGCCCCCAGGTCCTGCCAGACCCTGGTGTCCCTGCTTGGGGGGGTGGCAGGTTTGCTGCTGGTGGCGCCTCATCGTCCGTAGAGCCCTGGGGAGCGCTGAGGACACAGGACAAGGCCAGGTCAGCACCTGCGGGCACACAGGGCACCCTGTGAGGGGCACCCAGACAATGATTCCCTGCAGGGATCCCCTCCAGCCACTCCTGCTGGGACAGGCCAGCTCCTGGCTCCTCTCTCCCATCCCTGCAAGGCTTCCTTGGAGGCACCAGAGGTGGAGGCTGCCGTGAGGCAGCAAGGCTGTGACGCTGGGACACTTCCTCCTGCCTTGGGTGCTGTGACCCATCCCCACGCAACCATCCCTGTGTCCCTGAGCCCTCTGGGGCTGGATGGGGGTGTCCCCATGGCCGCCAGCCCAGCCAGGAGCCATCCCATGGTTTGGCCATACCCGAGGGCACCGCTCAGCCCCAGGAGCCTCAGGGTGCTGCTGGCTCCCGGCTGGCAGTGGGAACTGCCCAGCCCAGCTGTGCCTGCAGCCCGGGCACGGCTCCTGTCCCTGCTGCAGAGCCTGGCCCCTTTCCTGCCCTGCTTGCAGGCGGAGCAGCCCGGAGCAGCCCTGACCTGCGCCCAGCTTGGCCTCGGCAAGAAGCGCTGGGAGCAAAGAGCAGCAGCCCGAGGGGAGAGGTGAGGTGATCACTGAAGCACCTGCTGGCAGTGGCCCTGCAGGGTGTCACGGCCCCCAGGACACACTGTCCCCTCCCAGGGCTCGCTGTCCCCGTGTCCCTGTGCCTCTCAGGGCCTGGCCTGGTGTTTGCAGCCAGCTGGGCTGCACAGGAGCCTGTCCCCCTGCCCAGCCTGGGGACAGTGCTGGATGCTTGAGGGCTGCACAGGAGCCTGTCCCCCTGTCCAGCCTGGGGACAGTGCTGGATGCTTGGGGGCTGCACAGGAGCCTGTCCCCCTGCCCAGCCTGGGGACAGTGCTGGATGCTTGAGGGCTGCACAGGAGCCTGTCCCCCTGCCCAGCCTGGGGACAGTGCTGGATGCTTGGGGGCTGCTCAGGGGAGCTGCAGGGAGCAGTGGAGGAGGGAGCAGGGCACAGACCCCCATCCCTGCCCCTCCCCTGCCCTGCACCAGGTACAGCCCCTCTCTCTCAGCAGGACCAGGGGTCAGGGACTGCCTCGTTCCCCCAACAGAGACCTGGAGCCCGCTCTGGTCATTCCCAGCTGGAGAATCCTCTCATGGCAGGGAAAGCATCTGCATTCTCTGGGGAGCCCCGGGGCGGCCCTGGCAGGTGCCAGCGCTGCTGCCGAGCCGTGTCCTGCCGGCAATGCGATGTGATGAGCTCAGCCGTGGTTTGCGTGTGGCGGTGGCGCCGGCCCCGCTGCTGACGCTGCAGCCTCGCCCAGCGCCATCGATCCCGCAGCAGCAGCAGCAGAGCCCCGGGGGATGGCCGTGAGCAGGGCTGGCCTGCAGGCAGCACCGGGGGGCACGGGAGGGTCACCAGCCCTGGCAGAGCAGGGACAATGCTCTGCCTGTCCATCTCAGGGCTGCTCCCCCTGCTCCTGCTGGGAAATTCCGCTCCTGGCTGGATGCAGAGAGTGTGGATGTGCCTGGAAGGCAATGCCAGGCCCCAGGCAGAGCTCTGTGCAGGCAGGGCAGCGTGGGGACAGGGTGGCAGCTCAGCTGCCAGGGTGGCTGCCTGTGACACCCCCCGAATCCATCTGCATTGGCAGCGCCCCCGCGGCTGGGCATGGAGGTCATGGCCCCCCCCATCATCAACGCCCTGAACGGCTCCTCTGTGAAGCTCTCCTGCACCTTCAACTCCTGCTACAAGGTGGAGAACAAGCAGTTTTCCCTCAACTGGACGTACCAGGAATGCAGTAACTGCTCGGAGGAGCTGGTGAGTCTCGCTGGGGATGTGCTGGGGGCCTGGGAGCTGCTCAGAGGGTGTTCCTGGGGGTTTCTTGCATGCAGGGAGGGGGTGCCTGGCTGGGAAATGACCATGGGGTGCTGCCTCACCCTCTGTCCCCACGGCTGCCCAGTTCCTGCAGTTCCGCACCAAGATCATGAACAAGCAGCTGGATCGCTTCGGGAACCGCGTGGAGTTCACCGGCAACCCCGCCAAGTACGACGTGTCCTTCACCCTCAAGAACGTGCAGCTGGAGGACGAGGGCACCTACAACTGCTACGTGCTGAACCCCCCGGACCGGCACCGGGGCCACGGCAAGATCAGCCTCAAGGTGCTCACCCAAGGTCAGTGGTGCCCGGCGCTGGGGGCACCCATGGGGGCAGGATGCTGGCAGAGCCCAGCATGGCACCTGCACAGCGATGCTGCACGGGTGCCCCTTCTCTGCATGTCCCTGTGGGTGCCCCCACGTCCCTGTGCAGAGAAGGGACACTTTGCAGCATCCCTGTGCAGACAAGGGACACTTTGCAGCGTCCCTGTGCAGGTGCCATCCCGGCAATGCCATCAGGCCCCAGGGATGCGGGACAGCTGCGCCCTCCCCGCTCTGCCCCATCGCTTCCCTGCACATGCTGAGCCCATCCCTGTGTCCCCAGAGCCCCCCAAGCATGACTCGACGGTGGCCGTGATCGTGGGTGCCTCCGTGGGCGGCTTCCTGGCCGTGGTGATCCTGGTGCTGATGGTGGTGAAATGCGTGCGCCGGAAAAAGCAGCAGAGGCTCAACACGGACGACCAGAAGACGGAGGAAGAAGGGAAGACGGATGGTGAAGGCAACCCCGACGAGGGCACCAAGTAAAGGCCCCGTGCCCGCCCCTCCCTCCTGCCCCCTGTACAGTGTGACCCTCTTGATGTGCTTCCAGAGCAAGGATTTCTGTGTCCCCAGAGCATCCCTCCTTCCATGCCAGCACCCACCCCAGCCTGGAGCAGGGCGCAGAGAGGAGGTCCCTGGAGCCCGGCTGGGCTGGGCAGGGCTGGGGAGAGGGGCTGAGGGCCCTGAGGCTGAGCTGGCACCGGCCTGTGCCCTGCTCTGGGTTGTGCCAGTGTGGTGAGGAGGTGCCGGGGACAGGCTGGGGAGGGTGAGGGGGGATCTGTGCAGCCCCCACACACGGAGGGGCTGGAGCAGGGGGTGCCAGGAGGGACAGAGGGGTCTGGGCAGCCCCGTGCCCCATTGTCTGCTCTCTGTCCCAGTGGAAAATGTGAGCCAGCAGTGTAGCCTTGGGGTCAGCGCTCATCCCGAGCTGCTCCTGCTGTGCCTGGGCCACTGGCACTGGTGTTCCATCCCAAGGGATCCAATAGCTGCCAGGCTCCTCCTTGCAAGCTCCTGCTCCTCAGGGACTGTCCCAGGCTGCTCAGAAGTCAGAAGCCAAGGCCATGAACCCACCCAGAGTCCTGGAGTTGTGCAGTGTTTTGGAACCATTACCAGCCCTTGGTGTGTGAGGGATGGACCCTTCTGCCTCTCGGGCTGGTTTTGGGTCTGAGCATCTCAGCCCAAGGTGCTGGGCTGACTTTTTGTGCTCCTTTCCTTCTTGGGGAGGGTGGTTGTGGTGGAAATGTCCTGCTGATGTGTCAGACTGGGGTGTGGGGAGTGCTGGGGTGAGGCTGCTCGGGCCAAGGAGCTGCTGAAAGGGAGAGGAGCCTTTGGGCACTTGCTGGGAAGAACTGGGCACGGCAGCAGGCCCAGAGTTAGGACAGCTCTGCGATGCTGAGACTGCCTCCTCCAGCTCCCTGCAGAGCTCTGCACACTGTAACTGCCATGGCAATGCACTGCCAGCGTGCCCAGCCCCCTGTGCCACCTGCCTCACCCGCCAGGTGAGCTGCGCTGGCTGCAGCACTGGGGCTGCAGGCAGGGAATGACCCAGGGCAGTGTCCCCTGTGGCACCAGGCCTGAGCTTTTCTCCTCCCGTGGCTGCCAGGAGGGGGACAGTGCCCAGAGCCACAGGGGACACTGCCCTGGGGCAGGGGATGGAGGTCCTGTCACCCACAAGCAGCACTGCCAGGGGAGAAGGGACACCTGTGACACGTCCCTGTGCAGAGAAGGGACACCTTTGCCATGTCCCCGTGCAGAGAAGGGACACCTGTGCAGTGTCCCTGTGCAGAGAAGGGACACCTTTGCCTGTGCAGGTGCCATCCCGGCAATGCCATCAGGCCCCAGGGATGGGGACAGCTCTGCCCTCCCCGCTCTGCCCCATCGCTTCCCACCCGTCCATCGCACCCGACCCCGCTGGGCCCCACGCTGCTCCCTTCCCCTCCGCAGCAGGAATGTGCCGTGTCCCACGCCTGTCCCCATCCCCGCGAGGGCCAGGCTGTCCCCGCGCTGTCCCCGCGCTGTCCCCAGGCTGTCCCCGCGCTGTCCCCCCGCTGTCCCCGGCTGTCCCCGCTCTGTCCCCGGCTGTCCCCGCGCTGTCCCCGCGCTGTCCCCGGCTGTCCCCGCGCTGTCCCCGGGCTGTCCCGCCCCGCACAGTGCCCGCAGTGCCGCAGGGCTCCCGCACCACTTTCTGCCAGAGCCAGGCTGTCCCCGGCTCCTGGTGGGACTGAGCCAGCACCTCGGGGGCGCTGAGGCCTCTGAGCATTGCACACAAGCACTCTTGCATCTGCCTTTCATTTCTTCTC